CCTTCTCGCAGCCTTGCTCACAGGGCCTCACAAATATACTTGTATATCCACTTGACTTGAGTTGTTTACCTGAGTGAGAATACAGTGGAGACAAGTGAATGTCACTAAAAGCACAGTGACAGCTTGACTTTATGTGAAGCAAGTGGGGTTTTTTTTGTTTTTCTTCTAAAGCATAAATGTTTATGGGGTCTTCTGCTTTTTTCCCTTAGAGAATAAAAGATAAGCATTTTGTTTCCCTATTAGTACATTTTTATATAGGCCTACTGAACTTTAGTAAACTACAATAGTCTTTCAAAGGGCCAGTGTGTAATATTTGGCATGGTTTATTGTCAATCTGAATCTGAATCTGAATATTCTACCCATTAATATGTTTATACAAGTGTATAATCGCTATAAAATAAAATTCGTTTGGTTTTCATAGCCTTATAATTATGCTTTTATATATATATATATAGCAAGGGCCTTGCTTTAGAGAGGTCGTCATCTTGCGCCACCATGTATGTACGGCAGACCGAGCGGACAATCCAGCCAGCCAGAGAACGCGTTTCGCGTGTATAAATGAACCAATGAAGACAGCGAAAGGAAGGAAGAAAGAGGAGGAAACAGCAGAGTGTTTTAGTAGTTTGTTGATGGAGAGTAGTGAAACGTTTTTTTAGTTATAAAGTTTGCGAATGGACCACACTTACCACGCAACAGGAGAGAATGAACCCGTCATCTGCGAGGAAAAGAAGACGCAACTTCACTCCTTGTGATGCACTCTCTGCAGCGCTTTTCCTCCTGATGATATATCTCCCCAACGATGGCAGCAGTAGCACCGAATCCCATTCTGTGCATTCAGCCTCTCTTCTCACCCGCTCAGCATCAAACACATGGAGTTCCTCATCTGTGTGCTCCGGCTCAAACAGGTATGGCTCTGGGTCTGTGTCCACTACAAGAAACTCTTCAAAATCGCGTTCAAAGTCGTCCATTGCAGCTGCTGTAGTCCGGAGATATTGCTAGGCTAAATAAACAGCTGAGCTCTGTTTACCGGCTACGCTGTCAGTCAGTGTGCGGGCTGGAGATTGGTGGAGCAGAGAGGGGAGGGGGGTCCCCACTTAGTATTGTAAACGAGTATGTGTGTATGAAGTGTGTCTGTTACGCTAGAAGAGTCAGAGTTTGGGATGGAGTGGAGTGTTACTGGAGTTTTTGGAGTGCTCAAATAAACTGGCCTTTTTCCTGAACGCTCCTCTGGTCTCCTGCTCGTGAGGGATTCATTACAATATCGTAACATGGTTTAGATTTCTAAATAAATATTCACCTCATCACTAGATAGACCTACTCCTGAAAAACTCGTGCGCAAGGCTTTTTGTCCCTACGAGGCCACCGTCATTTACCCGACGGGAGGGGTGAGCGAGTGAGCCCTGCAATCTAGAATTTGACCACTGATGTCACTGTTTTCAACCCATTTTACACACTGGCACTTTAAAAGGTGTTTTTTTTCATATTTTGTGAATAACTAGAGACATAACTATAGACTTTTTTTGTTGATAGTTTTGTTAAGGACTTAGACGTTGTATTAGCAATTTCACAAATTATAGGAACGCTTCACCACCCAAATGACCATTTATTAATAGATGATTCACCCCGTGTTACATTGAATGCGTGAAGAAAACTGTTATTCTCATATGCCTCCACAGTGAACGGAGAATCCAAAAAAGGCAAACTTCTTGATGAACTGAAGTCAATGTGGGTCCACAGTCAACAAAAACAAAAACTTTATCAAAACATCTGTTAACAAACTCTCACACAACTCGTGTAGAATAATTCAAGTCTCATGTATCCATCTGTATGCTCAATACTTCCCAAACACATACATTTTTACTAAACTACTAGACTGTTTATGTGGAAGTGATTTAACTAGTAAGGTTTAAGTGAAAATGCATATGTTTGGGAGGTATTGAGCATACAACTGGATACGTGAGACTTGGGTTATACTGGACGGGTCGAGTTAGAGTTTATAAACAGATCTTTTAATAAAGTTTTACTGTTGTTAAACGCAGGCCCCTATGATTTCAATTCATCAAGAATGTTGCTTTTTTTGATTCTTCATCGTGAAGGAAAAAGTTTTCTTCACAAATTCAACATTACACTTATAGAGTATGTGATCCTGTATTTATATTTTAGTAGTAGTGGTAGTTTAATATATTTAAGGATATTCTGGTGTTTTCTTTTATATTGTATATTCTACAGATGTTCTATCAGCTGTGGCCCAGGAGGTAGAGCAGGTTGTCCACTGATTGTAAGATTGGTTCGATCCGTGGCTCCTCCAGTCCACATGCTTCCTTGGGCAATATACTGAACCCCACATTGCTCTGGCTGGCTGTGCCTTCAATGTGTGAGTACATGTGATAGTTTAACTGAGAAGCAGGTGGCACCTTGTATTATTTTTATTTTTATTTTATATGTACAGAATATGCTCAGGTTGTTTGTTGTATTCTGATTTGAGTGACTGTAGTTTATTTCATTTGTTGTGTTTATTTTTACACTGATATATATTTTGCTCTTCTAGTGTAGATATATATGTTAACTGTGTATTTACCCTTTTATTGCAATGCCTGGATAACCAGCTGCTGTAACACAAGAATGTTATGTCATGTAGTGTATGTATGTAATGTCATTTGTGGGGCTCTTATTAGTAGAATATGATACAAACTGTTGTTTGAGGATTCACTGGTTTAGCATGTGCACTAACTTGACTGAAAATGCTTAGTTCTCACCAAAATGCGGTTGGTTGCTTGTATATATAATGAAACTACGCTAATAATAGCATCAACACCATAATATCTCACACTGGATCAGTCCAAAGTAAAATCATGCAATGCTTCATTTTGAGCTGCTGACAACAACTATGCGTGTGTCTGTGTGTCTACAGGTAGATTTAAGCCTACTGTAACTGTTGGGAAAAGATCAATAGTGTTATCTCTCTCTCTCTCTCTCTCTCTCTCTCTCTCTCTCTCTCTCTCTCTCTCTCTCTCTCTCTCTCACACACACACACACACACACACACTTGGGAATAAACGGCTCTAATCAATAATTCTATAGTGCTAACAGAAAGCTTCCGCAGCAGTTTAAAGGCTTATTGTGCACATGGACACACACACACCCTCAACACACACTCACAAAATCACTGAACACCCAACAACAGAACTGTGAGCCAAACATTGAGTATTTCAAACACATTCATTGCACCTGAACTAATTTGAAAACCGTTAAATGGAAAATCAATCGTGCTGATTTGCTCCACAGGAATTTCTTTTATTACTTCTGCATTCATGTGATGCATTATAGGACTACCACTGTTACTCCTGTTACTATGTTGCCAAACTTTCAGTTGACACATCCACTAATCAAAAGGGTAAAATGTGGACATTTTGCTCTCATTTGCTGGCACAAAATTAGCAGCAGGATTCTCAAAGTCTTTTATTTGGTCTCTGGTTGTCTGGTTCAATCCCCTGATTTGCTGCTACTTGCTGTTTAAGCTGCAGAACACATCCAATAACTCATCTAACCAGAACAAATACAGCGATGATAAGGTGCTGTAATCAGTCAGTCATTGTCTTCCTCTATCCCTCCTTACTCTCTCTGCCCCCTCCATTTCTTATCATCAGTCTCCCCTTTTTTTCTTCTCATCTCCCTCTCTTCCTCCCCCTCACTCCTGTATTGAGTGTACATTTTCCTTCCAATAAATTCTCCCCGGAATAAATATGAGAGGAGTGAAAACTAAACGGTAAGCAGGCGATAATAGAGCATCCATGGATGTGTGGGTGAAAACAAAGTGAAAGAAACCACTCACGGCCATGAATGTACTTACTCTCTTTCTCACCCTCCATAAGAAAGTGTTGAAAGTAAAGTATATTTTAATTCCCTCCCTGTCTCCCTTGCTTTCTCCTTCTCAGTGCCATATGCTCAAAGCTCCATCTCGGGCTCATTTGGAGTGCTACACACACACATACACCAGCTCTATCAAAGCACAGGAACAGCTGGCTTGCTCGATATGGATGACTACTCGCCTGTCAACCAGTTTCACACAGCACGCGCAGGCACACACACACACACACACACACACACACACACACACGTCATCAAGCCTGGTGTTTCTTGCTGTTTTGAAAAGGAAAGTGAGTGAGAGATAGAGAGAGAGAGACAGCAGGTCGGTGAGTTAAGTGAGTGAGTCAGAGTGAGAGACTTGTGGAGGAGTTTGTATTGTCAAATTCATTTGACATTTCAATTAGCCCAACGAGTGAATATTCACCATGATATCATTTAATGAAATAATACAGACTGGATTTGAAAAAGAAAGTTGTTGTTTTGTCAGCAGATGCCTCAATTATCTGTCATCAACAAAAACCATGTTGTTACATCAGGGTTTGGATGTGGCCAAAAGAGCAACACACTGACAGTCACTTTGTGAAGAATGAGTCTTTAAATAATTACTCTGAATAATATCAAAAGCTAGGACTATATCAAATCAAAGAATATTAGGATTACATATAAGCATCTTCTTCAACTTTTGTGTACATTTCTTGAACAGATATGCAAAATGCAAAATTAATTTTAATGCAAACTGACAATAAACGTGTATCATACTGCATCATACCATACTGTTATTTAGAAAGTTACTAATATGTTTATTCAAGAGTCTGTGTCATTCCTGCTAGTCGCTCTTATCACCATTATTGTTGAGAAGGATTTGTAAAATATTTGGTCCTCTGTAAAAGTTTTGCTTGTGTGTCTTATGGAATAATAACTAACACATGGGCTGTTGTGAAAATTTTAAGAGGTATATCGAAAAATACATTTAAGTAATCAATAATTACTTTGTAAAAAATGACTAACATTATTTGTGACCCAATTGTAAATAATGGGTGATCTGTTACTGTTGGGATAATTTCAACTGTTCAGTAAACCATTCATTAGTAAACAATATGATATAGTTTAAGTCATAGTGGCTGTTCTCTTACCTCCCCTGCGTGGCTGAGACTCAGTTTTGGCAGTTTATTCTTCGCATTCCCAGAGTTTCCACCGTAAGCTTGACTGTTGTTGAATCCCTCGGTGGCCACTAGAGGGGGTTTAAGCTGGGGAGAGTCACTAGGCGCCTGGTCCTGGCCATCCATTGGTCGAACATAGGCTGTGGGCTTCTGCTGGACTGCGATCGGCTTCCCTGATAGGCTACCAGGTGGGAAGGTGGGGGTAGTCAGTCCAGATGTGGGAGTGGTTAAACCGGGAGTGGGTGTCGTCAGAACTGATGTGGAAGCCAACGGGGAGGAGGATGTAGAGAGGTGAGAACCTGTCTCATTTTCAAACGGGGAGGATTTAAAATGTCCACCATTTTCTGTGTTAGTGGAAGACTTAAAATGGCCACCGTCCATGGTGGAAGATCGAAAATTGCCACCATCTGTAAAGGAGAAGGGAAGAGGGAGAAAACCAAAAAGAAAAGTGGAAAAATAACCAAACAACACCTGTTATGGTGGAATATTGCTCTGCGCTGTCAAAATCTAATGACGGTTGAACGCCAGAAATCCTCTCTCCCAGATGGATGGAGCCAATCACAATCAAAGCAAATTATGTGTTGCTTGGTGGTTTGGAAATCATCTGAAAGATGTGGTTATCATCAGATGCAGATGTTAATTTTCAGAAATCCCGCCCAAAAGGTGATAGAGTCTGTTTTGCACTGAAATTATTCACTGAAATTATTCATCAGCACTCATGGCCCCAGCAAATATAAAGTTTATCCATGAATATCAAAATAAAAGGATTCTTTTTTGAAAGTCAGGTTTTATCAACTACATTCTGAAATATTTCCCACTACCGTTGAAGGAACAGTTAGACATTATGGGAAATGCGCTTGTTCTCTTTCTTGACAAGAATTAGACGAAAAGACAGTTACCACATCTGTGTAAAAGCACTACATACAGTATAAAACTAGGGCCAGCAATTTATAAGCTCATGCCATGTTCAAGTCATAATGTTTAGACCCTGGGTCTTCAACAGGGGGTCCTCAGAGCTACTGCAGGGGAGCCGCCTGTTAAAGCAGTTTTAGAAAATGACCCAGATGGCTGCAGCTGATATGTAACTGTCTGTTTAACTACTGTTTGCAAATTCTGATGGCAAAAACAACACTCATTCACAGACATATCAATGCTACACCATCACAGCTCATCTCTGCACACTGTAGTCTGTTTCCATTTGTCCATCAGCACTACATCACATTTGTTGTTCTGATTGAATGCAGGTCCCTACCATTGCATCCAGAGGCATTTTGGTCTACAATCGATAACAACGCTCCTCGGAAGGGATTTCATCTGGCGATGTCAGGCTAAAAATCACTGGAAGTAAAATCTGAGTAAAATTCAATAATAGCTTACACTAATACAATTAATGAAGTTGACTCAGAAGCTACTCAAAAGGTCGTTTCACAAACGACTCAAAATATGTAACATCACAAAATAAGCTATTTTAGGATATTTAAATAATGTGGGTACAAGACTGGAATGCCTGAACACTCCTCAGTCTGGTCTAAAAGGCGGTTTTCCAACATTGCACTAATGCAGTATGACCTTAGCATAAAGACTGGAAACAGAGGCAAACAGCTAGCCTGGCTCCATCCAAAAAAATCCACCTATCAGTACCACCTTGAGATTTAACTTGATAAGTACTAAAAGTTAGAGGTGCTGGTGGGCAGATTTTTTTTAAAACACTGGACAGAGCCAAGCTAGCTGTTTCTCTATGCTTACGTTTTTTATGTTATGCTAAGCTAAGCTAACTGGTTGTTGGCTTTCGTTTAAATATTTAGCAAACAGACATGAGAGTATCAATCTTCTCATCTAACTCTCAGGCAAATATGTGTACCTTGACCTATTCCTTGGATGCCTTTTTGTGTAGGACTTACCTGGGAGAGGAAGGGTTTTGGAGAGGTGGGAAGAGTGTCTTCTCCCAGAAGAAGAGGAAGAGGAGGATGAAGAAGAGGACGAAGGGCTTGAATCCCCTTTTAGACCAAGTTCATCTTTAAGGGAGCTAAACAGGTCTTCGTGCCTTTGCATTTGCTGTTCCTCTAATAAAGTCATTTTTCCTCTTCCACTCGTAGCTGCTGGGACCTGCCCCTGCCCGTTCTGTCCCGACCCCAGAACGAGGCTTGCTCCCTGGGTACTCTGTGAGTGGCCTGCCCTCGACCAGTCCATGGAGCTTCGAGACTTTTTCAAATTCTGATGTGGGATTGTTGTGGTGCATGATGACGATGTGGTCGAAGCAGGAGGTTGCATCGAAGTTGACGATGAGGAAGATGCATTTCCCATTCTCTTGTCCCCACCTCCCTCTGCTCCTCCTCCTCCTCCTGCACCTGTTCCACCTCTCAGGGCCTCATTGAAAAGCTGGGACTCCATAGCGGGTCTCTCTGTTGTTGAAGTGGTTGGGGTCTGCAGGTTGTTGCTGCCTTTGGGGATTCCCACCAAGTGGCTCTGGTTAGAATGGCTGGTTAACAGGTCTTTCATTTCTTCATAGGAGCCCAGCGTGTTCTGGACGCGGCTTGCCAACGCATCACCTTTATTAGTCTGAAAGGAGAAAAGGCAGAAGAAAAAGACAAGAGGGAGGGAGAGAGTGAAGAGTATTAATTAGATCTTCCATTTTTCCATTTCTTTCAGCTTGATGAAAAGCCCTCTTTATTCATCTGGAGAGCAACAGTGAGAGACGGATAGGGTGACCACTGACCAGACATCAGGACGAGATGATTAATTAAACACATGCCACCCTTAAGAGGGTCCAGTCCAGGCTGGAGCAGTAAAATTAATGGGGCAGGAATCATTATGAGCCTGACCCCAGATTCTCAAGCAATCACGGCTTGGAGGACGGTGCGCGCCGCACTGATATATGACGGTATAGCACCTTCAGCTGCTACGTACTAATGCAGAGATGTTCCTCAGAATAGCTCAAGAGTACCTTTTGTGTCAGTCATTGACAGCTTCTTTAATGATGAAACTACACGGTTTGATCATTTGGCGTTTGTGAAAGGACAAGGGCAATCAGCGGGGGTTTTCAGCAAATCTATATTTGGAGTCAGAAAGCCATGGGGGGGGGGTGAAAACCAGTAGATTTCTATCCTGTCCTCTGACATTTCTTTTCTACCTGAGTGACAATTGTGAAGCAAAAATTAATCATGAGCCAAGTCTGAATTATGCAAGATCTACAGCCTGTAATTTAATCATGACATTTCATTAGACAAATGATGAACACAGGAAACACTGAACAAGATCAATGTGAAATGTGGCATTGTAATTTTATTGTACATAACTTCTGCAGTTTGATCAATAGATCCAGCCATGAAGGCAAAGGTATCTGATAGCCTCCGCTAATCGACCCTGCAGTAACATGAAGTGACAGCGTCAAATAAAGCTACAACAGCTTTAAAGGTTGAAATGTATGGGAAGGAGTGAATGAGACCCTTTATCTAATTTTCAAGACAGGGTGAAATTGCCTGTATTTGGAGAGGTTAATGAATTCATGAATAATGAATGTATGTTCATAGGAAGTAGGAGCTTAACTAATCTTAGGTAATATTTCTGCAAAGAGCATCAAGTTACATGTAATAATAATGAATAATCCCCACACTGATTGTAGCGGAACTTAACACCAATCATGCAGATCTGTGTGAGGCTGTCAGGGTTGATTTGCAACCCACATCTATTTTCACAGTGGTCAGAAGAATAAAACCACACATCTTGTACATCACTTGCAGCTTCAAGGAAATAATGTATCAGATAATGAACATGATCTGTGTTTTTCTTATGCAAACAGCTCCAGTCAATATCCAAATAATACTGTTATAACAGGCAATGATCCATGGAGAGGTCTTATTGCTGAGGAGGGAAGTCTCAGTGTGTGGGTTTGTATGTGTGTGTTAGACACTTCACTGCCTAAAAAATGAGTGTAGCCCCACCCTTGTATTTGCTCTACTGGAGGGTAATGTAAACATAATTTGATAATAATTGCTATATTTTGATGCCTTTTTTTCATTATCAAATTGATTTGATGGTAATCTATCAACCAGCTGAACAGTGGCACCCCAAGGGGGAGCCAGCGGGTGGGGTGGAGGGCGACAAAATTAGCTCTTAGTGTCTCCAGACAATGCACCAACCAGGTAATAGGAGCTCACAGTGGTGACTCTGGTGCTGGCTGGATTTTCAAAATAAAAGCCCCCAGATGGTAACAGCAGTTGACCTAGGCACGTCTGGACTATGGTGGATTTCAAAAATAAAAGCTCCCAGATGGTGACAAGACCTTACCCAGGAGCATTGTTCAAGGCTGGATTTTCAAAATAAAAGCCCCCAGATGGTAACAGGGGTTCATTGGAGGGCACTGGACAACGAAAAAAAACCCAAAGTTTCTTCCAATTTTCAATAGTTGCAGTGAACTGAAACTCTACTCCAAATTGAAATTACTCTTCATACTTTTTTGTACAGATTTAATTTGTATTTTGAACAGGTCACAAAGTTACATAAGTTACACTTAGGTATGCTTTTTGATTAACTACTACTTCACCATACTACAGATGACATAAATGTTATACTCTCACAGAACTTTAAGCTTGTATTCAACTTTTTGTACTTTTAATGCCTTTAGAAGTACAAAGAATTTCTTTTTTCAGGTTTTGGCTTGCCACCCCAAGATGTTCAGTGGCCCCATCTGGCCAACCTTACAAAATAAATGTCTGGGAGCACCACTGCAGATGAAACTGAAATAGGTTATTTGGTTAGTAGTACAAGTTGCACAACCACCAGGACCACAATTATTTCTTGATTTACTAACCCTTTTTAAATAGGAATTGTGCAAATTTGCAGGAAAGCCCAATCAGTTTTTTTTTCAGCATTGGCAGTATAAATACAAAATTGGGGAGTGCGGCAAAATGCCGCCTACCTACTTTTGTTTATAGGGAATGCGCCTTTTTCACCTCTGTGTTTGATGACATATGGTATGTAATTCGTGTTGGAATTTTAATTTTTTCAATTAAGGACACTGCAGATTTACAGAGGACTCGAAACACAGAATGAAAGAATATCTCTGCAACGATAAAAAAAAATCATAGGTGAACCCTGGATAACAGTCCTGAGTCTAAGATCACAGTTCCCTGTGGTTCTGTAGGCCACAAAAAACACTCAACTCAAATCTATGTGACTGAAAGCGAGATTCATCTCTTCCAACGTGTCTTTCTTCGCCTCACTGTATCCTTCAGTTTTACACTCTAATAAAGCAGCAAAACCATGAAAATACCAAAAAAAATCAAACAGGGCAAAGAATCAAGCCTTATTTACAAAAGATTCATACAAGAAAGGAGAGAATTGCTTTCAAATAATCTTAACAGATGTAATTTCTGTGTGTGTATACACACACACACGCACAAACACTACACACCGTGGCAAGCCAAAGTTAGCTGTGAATAAATTAGCTCATCTCTTCTCCATCTCAGGCTCATGAATAAAAGATCTGGTGGCTGAAGAGGAACAGAAAACACATTTACAGAGAGGCAAAATGGAAAACAGAAGAGAAGGAGAGGATGAATACCTATGTGTGTGTATGTGTGTGTGAGTGTGTGTGAATAGATCATCCCAAATAGCTGCTAACAGCATAACGCTCTTTAACAGGATTAGAAGAGGGATTAGCTAATAGCTGACAGAGAGAATGAATACTGGTGAGAGAGAGAGAGAGAGAGAGAGAGAGAGAGAGAGAGAGACCGAGAGAGAGAGAGAGAGAGAGAGAGAGAGAGAGAGAGAGAGAGAGAGAGAGAGAGAGAGAGAGAGAGAGAGAGAGAGAGAGAGAGAGAACTAGAGTGACGGACACACGATAGATATACAGGTACAGAGAGAGACTGATGGTAGGAAAAAAAAATGAACAAGAGAGAGACCGGGAATGATAAAAGTTCTATAAATCCTGTGTGATAATGAAAAAGGGCTGATATAGATCTCTAAAGGAGCAGTTCAGTAAGTTCAGTCAGCACTTAGACACAGAGAAAGTACAGTGAGGTCGAAGAGGCCTTGGTAAATCCACTGAATTGTATCAAGTAAAGCAACACACTCAGAAAAAAGATGAAATTGTAAGTGCAGCAAATAAATCAGGAGAAGAAAGTAGCAAGGTGTGCCAAAGCCGTTTTTCAAGTTTAGCAGCAGTGAGAGATAAACTAGGGGAGTATATGGAGGAAAAAGATTAGTTGGAATATGAAACACGTAAACATGTTGTCCCCTGTGAATGATGCAGTCACCCCTTTAGGCCAGTCACTTATAAGATGTATCATTGCATACTTTAGTCTGGTCTTAGTCAAATTCTTCAGCTTTTTTTTAAATTGATTTTGGCATTTTTGGAAGTACTGAGCATGCACTTACTATCAGTGATCTTGGATTATATTGCATCTTTACTAACTTATAATAAACTCTATGTTAAAAGTGCTACCATCAATATTCTAAGCATAAAAATGGCTCCAAATACAATTTGTAATATGAGGGTGTTAAAGTATTTTTCAGTTCCTTATTTTGGTTTTATGGCCTTCTTGTTTTGGTTAAGTCTAGCAGGTCTCATGTAAATTCCAGATGCAGGCAGCTGTTTTCTGTGAAAAAGCTGTCATAAACCAACTGTAGGCTACCCAGCAAACATTCCCAGCTGGCCACCAACATTGTTAGATGTTGATATTTGGTTGAATTTAGTTTGTGACCAGTTCAATATCATGACAACGTCTAATGCCAACGTCAATATGACATTTGACCATCACATTTTGTTGGTTTTAAGTTGTGTTGTTAAGTAACCAAAATCCAAAGGCTTGCCAATGTCATCTTGACGTAGAATGACATTTAGCTCTAAGGTACAGAGAAGAAAACGTCTGCGAAATGTCATGAGGATAATATCCACACAACATGAAATTCTGACATTCTTAGACATTTAAAATATCATCAACCTGCTTGTCATTCCAATAAAAATTTAAGTCTGGCCACCATAAGAGTAAACATTGGCTTATATTCATCACGTGGCCAGAAGCACCACTCCAAATAAATGTTAATAGTGCTTCATAGTGCTGCTGGATGTGTACATAGGCCAGTGTGCTAATGTGTTGACCATATCAGTTTTATAAGGTAATATAGCAATGTTTCACCAGGTTTAGTGTCTATATGTAGCAATATGAAATGAGGTTTTAGTATAAGATAAGTTTTAGATTATCCTTGAACAACAATATTATTTTTACCTACCAAAATATGTGTAGCATCAAAAAATGTGAAGTACTTAAGGTCAGCATTTTAAAGAAAGCTTGGTCAGATTTTCAGGCTTGTTCAGTTAAGCCTATTTAAGCCAAAACTATTATTTAGATTCCACCTTGAAGCATTCCGCAGCCATATTTTGTTAAAAAATAAAAAAAATTAAAAAAAAAAGTGGGGTTTAAAACTAGGGATGTACTGATAGTGAAATTCAGGGCTGATACCAATGGCAATATTTAAAACAACAATTTGGCCAACAACCGATACTGATGGGGTTTTGTTGTGATTTTCTTATTTTCTTATTTTCTCCTTTTGTGCCA